CAGGCTCTCCCACCTTAGAGGAGCCGCTGCTCCTGCGCCTCCTGGAGCCGGGTCGTCCTGCTGGCGCCGCCTCTGTAGCCTGCAAAGCCGCCTCTCCCTTCCCTCCCTCTCCCTTCCTCCAGGCGCCCTCTCCACTCTCCCAGCCGCCCCCAGACGTCCCGAGGACAAATCGCTGCAGCCCAGTGGTGCTGTGGGCGCAGTTGTACCCCGAACTTCAGTCTTAGTTTTCTAGTCCAAGATTTATTTTTGAACTCATTCTTGTAAGCCCCCTCCCCCATTTATCTTTATAATCACTAAGCAAAACAGCTGGTAAGAAGCAATCAAACATAGCTGTATCTTTAGAAAATACAGAAATTGCCTACTAAAAATCTGATTTCCACTTTGAATGAAAGCCATTCAGTACAGTATAATTTTGCAGACTAATGAGCCGGTTTTACAGGCAAGTGTTTCGTTTAATACGTTGTGGGAGAAATGAAAATGTCCTTGAAGGCGACATCATTTAAGATGGACTGTCATAAAATGAAGTAAAAGAATCATATATTCCCAAACAAGAGGATCTTCACTCAAAGTTCATATCCAAGAACGGGCTGTGCTTATTCGTTTGCAATCTAATCATGTATCACTTAAGGTTCTAACTGGCTGGAATCAACTATGGTGCCTCCACTTAGAGAGAGGGGAGGGATAAGGGAGGGAGGGAGGGAGGGACAGGAGAGAGAGAATTTCCGCCAAACTTTTGGTTTTCCCTTGAGTGTGGTTAATTACCATGGAAAGAGAGTTGGGCCATGCAAGAGGCATATTCTTGTCCACGGTTCTTCTTGCTAGCCCCCCCATTCATGCTTACATTTATGAAGAATATGTCCTGGAGTTGAAAAGGAACTCGAAAAAGGCATCCTGATTAACACTTGGTAGCCAAAAGCAAGCCTAGAGAGAAAGGGCAGCCTTTTAAAATGCAAGCCCCCCACCCCATTACCAGAAAGGGGTTTGGGGTGGAAAGAGCAGCTTCTGAGACTCGCTCAGTGGTTTTTCTGCTGTGAAGTCTTTTGTTGCCTGGTTGGCTGGTGTTTTCTGGTTGTGCTGGGCTCTGACATCATTGCAAGTTACTTGGCAGTCAGGCCCTCCCCTAGCCAACTTCTGACCCAGAAAGCTGGGGCTGTTTCCTGGCCAGCGGTCATTTCTTGTTTTCTGTCCTGCAGGCAGAGGGCACTGGGCACTGCCTGAAGAGGAAAAGAGCTGGAGGAGGAGTGGGCAACTTGGGTGGTGATGGAAGGCGTCACCGGCCACCACGGAACAGGTGTGTGAGTTGTCCCATGTCAGCAGTAGCAGCAGAAGTTCATGCCTCCAGATTCCTGCCCACCTCCCCCATCCCACCTTGTGGTTCAGGCTGGCCTGCAACTCCTTGTGAAAGCAGGTTGACCTCAAACTTAAGGCAATCCCCCTGCTTCAGCCTCTGGAGTGTTGAGATTACTAAGCGCGAGTTACACCTGGCTCAGACTGAGTTCCTGTCCACGTGGGCAGGTTTAGAAGGACAAAGACCCAGAGGTGACAGTTTTACCCCAGACTGAGTCCTTAAATCCAGGAATAACAAGAAACGATGGTCTGCTGGGTGCTGGCGAATAAACTGATGGTCCTTTGGGAACCATGAATTACATGTTTTCACTCTTAAGTATCAGTCTGGACCTCGGGGTCATGCTTGGCTTTGCTATGCTGGAGGCCAGGAAGCCAGAGGATGGCATGGGAACCCTGGAGGGTTTGTCCTGTCCCTGCTGGGGAGTGCTGAGAGGAAACTGACACTCTATTTGGTCTCCAGTGGAAAGAGATCCAAACCAGCCACTCAGGCAGTTGCCAGTGCTGTGGCTCATCCAATTCCCGTCCTTACTGCTGACTCTACACCATTCAACTCTTTAACCCTGTTGACTTCTGCCATTTCCCCGTTCTCCCCACCCACCCTACGCTCTAGGCACTAGTGCTGGCTGGTACTCATGGTGCCCCAGAACGCCGGCTCTCGTGATGTTTCTGTTCTCTGTGGTACCCTGTCCTGCTTCTTAGCTTCGTTTCTGGTTTCTTACTGAACAGCTATTGTTTAGGTGGCAAATTTCCCTCATCCCACAAACCCTTTGTCTGGATCTGAGTGACTGTCTTCTGGGCTCCAAGATGTTGTTCGCTTTTGTTCTGTTTAGGTTATCTCCCAACTGGACCCGTCTTAATGGAGCAGGGTTCTTACCTTCCGTCCTTGTGCAGGCCTGGTGCCTTACACAGGATGCGCACTCAGTAAATACTGGTTGAGCAAGTATGACACTGGAGCCCGCGACCTTCTCATCCTCTCTTCTGGGCAGATAAGAAAGAACTCTCATCTTGCCATCACTATATTATATTACCCCCCATACTTTGTGTCCCAAGATCTCACAGCGTCATTGAGAGTATTTGTTAGATGTTTGTCAATGAGCGAACAGAGGCCCTTGGCTCTTTTCACTCCCTCACAAACTTTAAAGGCTAGATTCTACCACGGATAGCAAATATGCTTTTGTATTTTCTGCGTGGTTTTCCCATCAATGGCCCATAGTAACTCGTTTCCAATTGAATTCGAAGCATAATAGCAATCTAGAATCTACAGAAAATCTTTGTGTATGAATCTCAGTGAAATGTATCAATCATCAGATAATGTGGTTCCTTAACCATTACCGCTATTAAACAAATTCCATGCTTAGCATATGCCAAGCTGTTCTAAGCTCTTAGAAGTATTAGCATGCAGCAATCCTATGAAGCAAGTACTATTATTAATGCCATTTTAAAGGTGAGAAAACTGAAAGAGAGACATTTTAGTGATTTGGTTAATGTCATACCTGTAACTGGGATTTCTATGCTCCCTCTTACTGAATGAGGTCTGAACAGCAACCGCTAAGAATGAAGTTTTTGGAGTTTATAAAGTTTGATTTCCAGTCCAACTACTTGTTAGTAGATTGGTGATTTGGATAATTAATTTAAACACAGTGGGCTTCATTTTTCCTTATTTGAAAAACAAGGATGAAATTTAAATGGCTTCCATAGTAGACTGGACATTATAACACAAGTGACTTGTGAAGTGCCTTGCCAGGAGCGCAGCAGGCACTGAGTAAATGCTAGGCAACACTTTCTAGATGCCATGAAGGCAGTGCAATCTCAGGATACTGCAGAGCTGGATTAGAAACGCAATCCAAAATTACAGTAAATGTGAGACTCAGGACCCAATGGGTGTGTTAATAAATTTTGTTCACCTCTACCTCCACTCCTCTATCCATGTGATATGTCCATTAATTCAGGTGTGCAAACTATTATCCAATCTATAGGAACAATGCTTTGCATGGATTTCCATGAATAGCATCATGTAGACTGTAGAATCCCATCGACGAAGGTATTGTATTGAAATGTCAAAGGGAGAGACATTTCTCCACTGACTTCAGTTTGGAATGCACAGACACTGCTCCTTGCATTCACGCATTATAGAAAGTGCTTTTGTGGCAAGGGATTGCTTTCAAAACTAATCTAAGCTCTCCATGACATGATAAATCATTAATAATATAGACTCACGTCTTTGCATCTGCATAGACACAGCTGGCCTCCTTGTGTCAAGAGTTTGCATATGAAAGTGACTCTGCCAAGATATTTCATTTTAATGAAAAATATTTATCATGGTAAATCTTAAGCTTCAAGATTTTGCTGGCATAATTCATTTCTATTGCTATGTTCTATGCTAGTGTAGCACATAGCCATACCCATATTTGGAATAAGAAAATGTGCTTTTTAAACTTATTTTGATTCCTACTCTATCTTAGCATAAATATTTTCTGCCAATCGCTCTGCGTACAGAAAATGCACCATGCATTTTGTCAAAATAATCATCAGTGACTTCTCAGCTTTTACTAATGCCTTCACAGGAACCACTGTTGGGCATTGGTGTGTTTGAGCGGAAGAAAAGATGCAGATTTTCCAAAATCCATTGTTTATTCACCAGACACATGCACAGCCTTCAACTTTGT